GGATTGCATAAGTTCTCAAGATGTCTACTTTCTGAAGTGGCTTTAATGGGGCTCCCCCGATGTTTTCAATCCAGCGGGCCAGCATCCCTTGTAGTTCAGGCTTGGATATCCCCACCCAAGGGTCTATCCCCAGGCCTAAATACTTCTCTGAACTACCTGGATCTATCATACTCAATTGCGTTTCCGCAATTGACCATGGGTTACAGTCATTGATGGTATATGAGTCTTTAGTTGGCCTGATAAGGAACCCATGGCACTTTGGGGCCTGTACCCGCAGCCCGATAAGATGGCAAAATTCCTCAACCACTTCAATATTCCGTCTCATGCCGTCCCAAGAGTCACTGAGCTATGCCAGGTCGTCGGCGAATGCCAATGATGTTACCACCTGGTCACCATACCTAAAACCAACTCTCCAGACCACACAAAAGGGGATCTAACGCCAAATTGAAGAGTATCGGCGACAATGGATCTCCCTGTTTCACTCTCCCGAGGATCTTAATCCTTTCAGTGCACCAGCCTCCCACCTCCACTCTGGTTCCGCAGTTGGTATACAAGTCCTCAAGTAAGTCGATAATATGCTTATCAACTCGTTTTTGGGCCAGGACCCGGAAGATGTGATGATGGTTAACTGTGTCAAACGCTTTCACTAAATCGACAAACACGACCCTGAGAGTCCTATGATCTTTCTTGGCACTTTTTATCAGTGCCTGAAGGAGTTTTAGATTTTCCGAGCAGCCTGGAGCTGCTATAAAACCCCTTGGCTGCGCGTTTATCGGGCATGCCCGCCGGAGCCTATTGCTCAATATCTGGGAAAACAATCTTAATATGACAGACCCGATGATAATGGGCCGCCAGTTGTTAATGTCCTCCAGTGCCAAGGCCCACCCCGCGAGACGGAATGAACAACACTTCAATGTGAAGCAGGTTCAATTCGCTTTACTATTGTCTGCAACATAGCTTTATACAATTCCGACACCCGTAAACGCAGACACGTGCTAGGCAACAGCATTCTCATTGGTTAGACTATAGTGTCCGTGCATAGCTAGCTTGCAGCTGATTGGCGATCTTCTCGGTGCTCTGTTGCTGGGCCTCCCGGACGTCTATCTGGTTGTGGCTGGTTTAGTCCCCCTGAAACTGCCCACGAACACTTTCTTCTTCTCTGGGTGACCTTGAATCCCATTACCTCAGTTCCTTATATTCTTGCAAAAGCGCTAAGGCCCCAACACTCCAGCTTAATGGGATCTGCCGACTTCAGTATTAATACTGTTCTCGCTGCCTTCAGCTTGTCGGGGACCTTCCCGGCCAACAGCCAAAGGTTGAACACCTCAGCCAACTGGCTGCCATGGGGGTCAATACTAAGAATATCCCCCAGGGAGAGGCCGTCCGGTCCTGGGGCAGAGCGCTTATATATCTCCACCACGTTCTTCCGGATCTCACCCGCAGAGAGCTTGAAGGCAGTATTGTCGGCCATTCCCATGCTACGGAATGACCTTAAGCCGGAAAAGTGGGTCACCTCTTCCCATCTCTCCCTATAGAAGGTGTAAACATCTTCGATCGGGAGAGGGCATTTCACTACCTCAATGTTGTCGAGAATGATACCAGCCAGCTTCTTCCTATCTAGAGTGAAGAGCCGCTGATATCGGAGGTATTGACCCCTTTCAACCGCCCTGCGTTTCATCCACCTTTTCTCCTTCCTCGCAGGTCCGGCCTCGGCAGGATGTTTCTGATGGTATTTGGCTCTTTTGGCTGTCTGGAAGGACCAGAGCCGACAGTTCCAGGGGATCAAAGATAATTTGGTCCCCTGGAAGGTGGGTCTGGCCGTTGCAAACGGACCAGACATTATTGGTCAGGGAAAGGTGTTAGTGGAACGGAGCCAGGGTGGAAAGGTGTCAATTAGGGGAGAAAGCCAATTCAATAAGGCAATTCTCACCCCCTGCGCAAGCAGATGGCTACATCTGCCTGGCCCGGCTCGTGAAAATATGTGTTATATCCACAGAGGATAGGAGGGCCCTTTGAGAAAAGACCCTCGCTATCCTCTTCATGCGGCTAGAGGAGAACCCAAGATCGGTTAGAAGTCTCTCATTGCCACTATAGGTAATGAAAGTTATAACCAGACTGTGTTTAATGACTCTAATACGTGTGCTCATAATGTAGTTATTATTAGAGGCTGTGATTTTTGTGTATGTTACCCATGTTTAATGAGAATCTGTGTGTGTGTTGCCATAATAGCGGCTTGCTACTGCATGAGGCAAATGAGACTACCTTGATGACTAGCTGAAGTCTAAGTGCCTCCTACCATAGTCAAGGGCAAGACTGGGTTGGCCTCTGTGTTTGCCACCAAGAAGAACCTCAAGCTCCGCTGTTGGCTGCAACCCAGTAGGCGTTGAGCGGTGGGGGCACATGCCATGCCAGACCTTGATGTGACTGATGGCCACCTCTCTCTCTGAGGGCCATCTAGGAGGCAAGTGCAGGCCAAGCGGCCTGCTGCTGGCATGAATGACAGCTAGCGTAATTAACTTGTGCCTACGTACACAGAACTTGCCTGAAAATTGCTTATGCTAACTCTGCTAACTCACATATAGGCCCGCTGGACTGCTTACACTGCCCTGCACAGTAGGGTGGCTTACCATTTTACAGACCAGGTTCAAAAAAAAAAAAAAAAAAAAAAAAAAAAGACAAAGAGATGTAAGGACGTCATTGCTGCAGGGATCACTGCTGCGCACCCACTGACCACGCTACACAGGCCGGGATGCTGGCTAGCAAAATCCTGCAGTGCTACAACAACAGCTTTGCCATCATTGTTAGTAGATGTGGACTCAGCTCGGCATGCAACCTTGCTGCAATGGCTATGCTTCTGGTTATGCATGACCGCAGATGTGAGAAGGTAGGGGCATGTGCTGCATGACTCTAAGCGATCACACCACGTCTATGCATGCCCAGGTCCGGACGTTACAGGACCTGACTCATCAATTGAGAGTGGATGGTGATTGGACTGCATTCAGACGATGGACGTGGGGTTGGCCATGGCTATAGAAACTGTTACTAGCACTATTATTTCTGTTTGCAATATTATCATATGCTGTATCCCTTGCATAATGATGCTGACACGAGGCATGGTTGAAACTGCTATGAAAACGTTATCTGTTCGGG